TTGTATGATGTCGAATAAATATTGTTATTCGTATATATATCATCAATGAACATAAAAATGGAAATAGATAAGCAAAAAATGCTCCCCAAATAATCGCACGTAGACTTGCAAATGAAACATAACAAAAATAATCATTATTGAAATATACAACTCCATTCCAAAGTATAAGAACACACATGATACAAATTGCCCATATATATTCTATCATTGGAAGAAGAAGATATAATTTCAAAGATTGAAGATGTTGATTTTGAAAATAAATAATTCGAATTAAACGATATAATGCCTAAATATATATATGCAAACAAACACTATTTTTTAACTTAATTTTCATCAATTTTAATAACCTGATTCACAAATGCCATATACATTGTGCAAAGATGAACTACAGCGACATATCCTGAAAATATGCACCATGATGAATTAGCAGATCGACCATTTAAATCACCTGATATTGTTCGAATATTCATTGTTAACATAATTATTGTAAATATTAACATAGAGAAATATATATGAATACAAAGAAAAATAGTTATTTTATCGTCTCGTTTTATACGATTAGAATACAAATGATAAATAAGAATTACTAGAATTATTGATGATATTATAGTTGCAAATATTCCGAGATCAAATGTTATTGAAGTAAGTATAAGTCCAAACTTTCTATTTTCATTGTTCAACATTATTTCAACCGCTTAAGAATTTAAATAATTTGTTCTAAAATAAAAGTTAAAATAATCGTAAGATATAAGACATACATACTCATATCACAAAGGACGAAACTCTAACAAATTATTATTTAGTTTCAATATCTATAGCACACTAGAAAGTTTCTGAATGACTTGTTGTTTCCATATAAAAGTTCATGAATCATTCATTGTATCTTGTACCCAGCTTATTTTCCTCTACTGTTATAGTCGCTATGTAAATGTACTCAGTAGTCTCTGATTCTAATATCTAATTGCTACTAATAGGGAAAGAGAAAGAATTGATATACACTGAAAAACCTTGAATTATTGTTTACTCAACCATTGTTGATTTCAATTTCTATGCACCGTTCACAAAGAGTAGAGCAGGAAACCGAAAAACTTCGCTTTATACTCATACTCACTATTTTCCTCTTCGAAAAATATATATGAGTTCTATAGAATTTAATACTAACATGAATATAAAAGGTTTTTGTTCAGAAAAATGCTCGAGTTCTGGTAAAAAGAAAATGTTTTTTTGAAAAATTTTTAATTTGTAATCAATTCACATTAAAGGATATTATTAACACGTCTATTTTATATGATATTTCCACGAATGTTTATTATAATCAATATTGAGACAGAAAATTCTGTTGTTAGACTCACCTGCGTCTCTATATCACATCATACTTATTCTTTATTACAAAATAAAACGTTTATTGTCCACTGTTGAAAGAATATTACAGAGTTGATTTTTCAGTAATGTAATGGTTCAGCTTAATTATTATAACAAGAGAGTAGGATATTGAACCTGTCAATGTAATCTTTATTTCAAAAGAATAATGTACTAAAGAAGCAATTACCAAGTACTTTCGAGTATTAATACCTTTATTCTTTTAACATGCTCTTCAAAAATTGGAATCTCCGCCCATAAAATATCAACCCTGTCATTTGTTCTCGAGTCCAATATTGTATAATGAAAGATAGCAGATAAAATATCTTTCTAAACTTATGTTTGAATATCAAAGCCCACTCAGATCTCGATCCTATAGCTTTGAGCATGATAAGATTTGATAGGAAGTAAAGACAAAGAAAATTCGTATTTTCGAAGGGACCAGCAAATGTGATTATATACAAGATGTAGGTGTGGATGTACAAAAGATTGACCCAGAACAACATCCACATTTTCATCCAGTCACATCTATACAATCAAGGTCGAACATTTCCTCGATAATTCGTATGCGATATCTTAATATTCAATCCTCTTCGCATGAAAAATTTAATAAATGCATCTCGTTCTAACAAATAAAACACGTCTCCATAAGATCAATCAATGTTTAACTTGATCAAATATTATTCAAAAGGATTTTTTGCCATTCGATGATTATCCATATTATAACAATTATTTTCTCTAGTAATAATAATATATTCATAAATTAGTTTTAATCTTTCTAAACAATTACACATAAGTACTTTACATCATTAGTTACATACAATAAAAATACTTCAAAGAAAATTATAATTGTCGTTGATTACATTGAAAAGACAACAACACGTTAGTATTCATTTCGATCAAATATCATTATTTATTTCCTGTATTTGAAGATTATCTTGTCACAATATAGAGAGATAAAAACAATGTACCGCCACACATATCGTGTGATCGATTCACTTTTTATTTACATAATATAACATGGGAAAAGAGCAATAGGTGAGAAAACTATCACTTTTTTTTCAATGGCGCACATACACAAACAAAACAAAAAAAAAAAGGAATTGTTTAAACATCAACCATACGTGACCACTTTGAACGATACGATTGATTTGATTGTTAATCACTGTTCACATTTTTCTAAAGAAAAATATGTATATAAATAATACGCGAATTTTCTCTCAATATCTTACTTGTTTTTTTTAATAAACAACGGGAAAATATTCGTTTTTTTGTATCAATAAATAAAAAACTAATTGACTAGATTTTAAATCTATCTAATAAATATAGTACAATATTCTTATGACCAAGATAAACAGCGAGATGTATTGGAAGCCAACCATCATCATTCATTCTTAAAAGATCACAAGCACCAAATTCAACAAATAATTTTAATAGATCAAGACGATTATATAAACAACATAGATGTATTAACGATTGACCATTATATTGTAAACAATTGAGATTAATATTAATTCGAGAAGATTTTAATAGAAGAATTTTAATATCATAAATATCTCCATTA